AGAGAGAGAGAGAGAGAGAGAGAGAGAGAGAGAGGATCAAATTCATTGTAGGGAAGGATAAACTTTTTTTAAAAAAAGCTCTTGATTTTATAGTACTAGATTTTTTGTTTTGTTTTGTTTTTCTTTTTTGAGACAAGGTCTTGCTATGTAGTTCAGGCTAACCTTGAACTTATTTATGTGGCCCAGGCTGGCCTCAAACTCATGGAGAACCTCCTGTCTCAGCCTCTCAAGTACTGAGATTACAGGCATATGCCACGATGTCTGGCAGCAGGACTAGTTTAAACTCTTGTTTTATTATTTGCTTTTTTGAGATAAGTTCTCCCTTTGTAGTGCAGGCTAGCTTTGAACTCACTATTAGCCTAGACTGGTCTCAAACTCATGGTAATCCTCTTGCCTCAGCCTGCTAAGTGCTGAGATTACAGCCATGTGCCACCACACCTGGCAGAAGTATTTTGAAAGATTATTTTTATTTACCTTTCTCTAATGACCATTCTTTGGTCTCCTCTTACAAAGAAATTAACTTTGAAATGACCAGTCTTCTTTTTTGCTCCACTGTTTCCTTCTTCAGCCTTTTATCTATTTATAAACCCAACTTCTTAACCTGGGGATATAGCTAGTGATAGTTTCCATGTCTGCTGTTCATAAGATCCTAGATTCCATTACTACCACCAAGAAAGAAAGAAAGAATCTATCTCCTATGCTTGGCCCATCAAAAAACTTGCTCTGCCAAGGATGGTGGCCTGTGTGTTTAATTGCAGTGCTCTGGGAGGCTGAGGCAGCAGCATCTCAAGTTTGAGCCCAGCCCAGCCAATTTAGTGACTTAGCCAGAACTTGTCTCCAAATTAAAAAATAAGAATTTTTTAAAAGGCCTGGGAATTGGATGTGGTGGCACACGCTGTAATCCCAGAATTTGAAAGACTGAATAAAACAAGCTTGTCATGAGTTTGGAGTCATCCTGGGCAGCTATAATGACTTCAACAGACTGAATTACAGAACAAGATCCTGTTTTAAGAAAAAAAGAAAGAAAGAAAGAAAGAAAGAAAGGCCTGGGTATGTATCTCAGTGCAAAGACCTTGGGATCAATCTATAGTATCACAAGACATAAACTAAGGGGGCCGGTGACATAGCTCAGTGGAATAAACGCTTACCTGGCAAGTGCAGGGTCCTGAGTTCAATCCCTGGTACCGCAAAAAAAAAAAAAAAGACATAAACTAAATATAAATTTAGTATAATACAGGTAAGTCCAACCACAGGATCTATACTCTTTTTTTTTTTTTTTTTTTCCTGAATGAAACAATTTTATTGTTTTTTTAAAAAACATTTATTTACTTATTTATTTGTTCTGTGTGTGTGTGTGTGTGGCCAGGTGGGCTGAAGTGGAGATAGTTTCTCACCAGCCCACAATTTTATTGTTAATCGCCCATCATCTTTTCATGTAACAAAATGCACTAGAGAACTGTTTGTATTGGTAAAATGGAAAAGAGGGGGCTGGAGAGATGGCTCAGTGGTCTAAAGCACCTACTTGGAACAAGCTTGGCAAAGCACAGGGACTGCGGTTCGATCCCGCAGCACCACATGCCAGCCAGCTGCGCCCCCTGGTGGGCTGAGCTGGCCACACACACACACACACACACAATAAATAAGTGTTAAAAAAAAATAAAAAATAATAAAATGGAAAAGAATCAGAAAATAGAAAATTCATTTAATTGAAAAGTAAGAATTTATATAGCTGCTTGGGGATCTGTGCCCTTAATGCTCTACAGAAAACACTGAGTTCTAAGGATAAAAAGTACCAGAGGAGGGGACTGGTTACATAACTTGGTGGTAAATTGCCTGCCTGCCATGCCCAAGACCCTGGGTTTGAACCCCAGGATCCAAGTAAAAATTGCATGAGGATGGGTAAACTAAGCAATGAAGAGATTGTACTGTGGGGCCTTTTGAAGAAAGGCAGAGAAGGATAAACTTCAAGGATACCAGGTCCAGGCTTTCAGATCGGAGGATGCCATGAAGACAGATCCCAGGAACTGAGTAGAGAAGGAAGGTGTATATTTTCTGACACCAGATATGTAAGGTTTTCCCAGTAAAAAAAAGTAATTTCCAACAGTAGGCTGGTGCTCATCTGTTTATATCACTTTCTACAGGTTTAAGAATTCAGTCCCACGAAACTATCTCCACTTCAGATGCCAGCCATAAATTAGGTGCTGTGGCTTCTCACACTTCTGCCTGCCCAGCTACAAATCCTTTTGGTTCAATAATCTGCTGGATGTAGTCAGGAATTATGGTACACAATCATGATTCCAGCACTTGGGACTCAGGAGACTGAGGCAGGAGGGTCTCTGAGTGCAAGGCCACCTGAGTTACAATAATGAGTTCAAGTGATACCCAGGTAGTTCAGCATATTAAAGCGCTTGCTTAGGCAGAGCAAAGAAGCCAGGGTTTATCCCTAGTGTGCCGCACCAGCCCCACCCCCAGTGTGTGCTGAGATGGTGATTGAGACTGGGTGTGGTGACGCATGCCTATAATCTCAGCTCTTGGGAGGCTAAACACAGGTGGATCACTATGAGTCTGATCTATGTAGTGAGACCTATAGACCCTGTACTAAATACAAAAAAAAAAAGTTCAAGTTCAGCCTAAATTACCTACTGAAACTATGCCTTAGTAGTAGTAATAATAATAGCCAGAGCAATAATAATAGTGTTGGTAGTAAGAGTAGTAATAATTTGCTACATGTGAGAAGACAGCTACCTAAACTGAAACTCAAAATTGATTTTCTCTTTCAGGACTTGCATGGGTACTGGGAGATGCTGAAGAACTGCCCTTTGATGATCACAAATTTGATATTTACACCATCGCCTTCGGGATCCGGAATGTCACACACATTGATCAGGTATGAATGGCTACATCCTCAGCCTGTGACTTTCAGAATACCAGTTCTCTTGGAGTAGATCCATAGTGAAGGAGGACAGGAGAGATTTTTCCCTGGGCCTGACTCTTGGTAGAGTGACTATTTTAAGCATAGGGGCTTCTTCTTCTTTTTTTTTTTTTTGGTGGCACTGGGGATTGAACTCAGGCCCTTGCACTTGCCAGGGAAGCACTTATTCTATTGAGCCATCGCCCTGGCCCCTGAGGGGCCTCTTTTACTGCAATTTTTTTTTTTTTTTTGTGGCTGGCTCAGCCTACCCTGAAGGCAGGCCTGGAGAGGCATGTGGTGGTGGAGATGGAACTGCGATCCCTGCACTTGCCTAAACTTGCCTAAGCAGGTACTTTAGACCACTGAGCTATCTCGCATGCTCCCAGGGTCTTCTTTTTTTTTTTTTTTTTTTTTTCCGGAACCGGGGATTGAACCCAGATCCTTGCGTTTGCCAGTCAAGTGCTTATCCTACTGAGCCGTCTCCCTGGCCCCAGGGTCTTTTAATGGCTCAGTAGAAGAAGCACTTGCCTAGCAAGTGCAAGGGCCTGAGTTCAATCCCTGGTTCCGCAAAAAATAAATAAATAAATAAATAAATAATAAAATACATTGCCAGTTTTCCTACTTATAAAACTGAAACAGGCCAAAATCACAGAACAGCTCCCATTGGAAGTCCCGGGTGCTTGGGTTGGTATTTCCATGTTTGGGATGTTTAGTCTTGTGATACTGTTTAATTTACTTCTCACTTGGGAAGTTGTCTGTCAGTTTGCAGATCAAAGATCAGAGGCTGACACGGAAAAAAACCACTCAGGTACTATTTTGGAAGAAGATAGATCATAGTTCATTTACAGAAAGAAGGGAATGTTCACTTTTTAATCTCATGCAACTTTTTAATTTTAATTCAGTTCTTTATTTGTACATTATTATTCTGTTCAAAAGATTTAAAAATCAAATGGGGCCAGGGAGATGGCTCAGTAGAATAAGCGCTTCCCTGGCAAGCGCAAGGGAGTGAGTTGTCCCCATTCCACAAAAAAATTAAAATTAAAATTAAAAATTAAAAATCAAGGGGCTGGTAAGATGGCTCAGTGGTCTAAAGCACCTACTTAGAACAAGCTTAGCAAAGCACAGGGACCGCGGTTCAATCCCCCAGCACCACATGCCAACCAGCCCCACCCCCTGGTGGACTGAGCTGGCCTCACACACACACACACACACA